TCTCTTGGCTATTTCTGTACAGGAGTAACCCTCTTCATGAAGCACAATGATGCAATGCCGCTGCTAGTATTGGTGAAAACAAAGGCCTTCACCCTTGTCCGCAGCCAGAGCTAAATTAAATTTCTCGATGCTTTTTATGCCTATTTATAGTCAGAGAGTATGACAACATTGATTGGCTCATAGATTTAGCCTCTGTGCATTTTGATTGGCCAGCCACAGCTCGCTGTTGATTGGCTACTTTCGATCCTAACATTCTCGAAAATGCAAGTTGTGTTTGTTTTAGCAGATAAACTCCCTCAAAACCTTAAAAAGGCTTTGGTTATATCAATACAAATTATGCATCTCAATCTGACTAGAGAAATTTTCATCAAATTACTAATTTTGCGTGGTTTCTATGAGTGAAAAATTAATTAAACATGGAAATACAGCTTAAAACTGAAAGCGTGCAGAACTTTTTCACACAGCTGTAGGTGCACATCAGAATTGTTCTAAGTTCACAAAAAAATCCTGAATAGAATTCATCTTAAAGACAAATTTTAGCTTAGTATTTTTAAAAAAAAATCTAAACTGCATAATGAAAAAGGCAATAACTTTCAGAGCCATTGTTTTAGAATTCATTCATCCTAAATTGCATTACAAACAATCTTGAATAAATCTTTGTAAAGAGACTGAGGACAATATAGAAAGTTCAAATCTATAAAGAACTTGATAACTACTATTTCCAAATAAAATGAAAGTTGCTATTACTGTATTTCCAAACAAAATGAAATAGCGAAACTGTATAAAATTATCAAACTCTCCAATATAAAATATTCCATATATATATATACAGAAGCCTGATGATGGCAGATGAGATTCTGCCGAAACGTTGCTACAACTTTAAAAGCACAACTACAATGACATGGGAAAATACCCGAACAAAGCTGAATACCATACATACATACATACATACATACATACATACATACATACATACATATGTGTGTGTGTGTATATATATATATATTCTTAAGTTTTCACGGGTATTTATATGTATGGTATTCAGCTTTGTTTGGGTATTTTCCCACGTCATTATAGTTGTTTCAGCAGAATCTCATCTGCCATCATCAGGCTTCTGTATTGTGTTCGTCTGTGAGTCAGACTTTCACAGCTGTTTCTGTTTTAAATTTGGTGCTAGCCTACTGTTGTGCCAGAATGGTTTTTTCTTCATCCTGATTGGTTGGGAGTCTTGGTCTGTGTTTATTGGTCTTGGAGTTTGCTCTGTTCTGCTTGATTGGTGTTTCTAATATCTTCTGTCTGTCTTTTTAGCTTTTTTTGTCTTGATTGGCTGGCAACATCTTGTTTCCTGTATTGGAGGCTTTTAGTGCAGCTTGGCTACAAGTAAATGGACGGCTATCTTTTATTAGGGTGCCTGGTTGGGGTGTGTTTGAGCTGGAGGTATCAGGGGGAGTCTGTTTGTGCCCAGGTGTTTGCCTGGCTTGTGGTGTGGAGATTTTTTTTGTTTGAGAGTGCAGGCTTCCAGATAATTGACAGTCTGGTGGAGTCATCTCTTCTATTCATGCTTTCAGGTCTTTTTTCAATCTCTATGGCTTCTTTGATAATTCTGTAGCTGGGGTTTTCTATAGTGGCTAGGGTTTTGGTGCCATCGAAGTCGATGCTATGACCTGCGGCTTTCATGTATTGGACTAGTGAGGAAGTGTGTTCCAGCTCTTTTACTGCATTTTTGTGTTCATCTAGGCGAGTACTTATTCTTGTATTGGTCTGTCCAATGTATGTGGCAGGGCATGATGCACAGGGGACTTCATATATGCCTTGGTTTTCCAGGTCAGTTTTATCTTTGGGGTTTCTTAGGATGGCTGCTATTTTTCTGTCTGTTTTGAAGGCAGTCTTGATGTGATGCCTGTGTAGTATCTTACTGGTTTTGTCTGTAGTACCTCTTATGTAGGGCAGGACAGCTGTTCCATAGGTCTGTTCATCTTCTAGGTCTCCATTATGTCTCAGTGTGTTTTTGTGGATCAAGCCAGTGATTTTGCTTTTGTGGAAACCATTGGCTGTCAGTACTTTAGTCAGGGTGCATAGTTTAGTCTTTATGTGTGTCTTGTCTGCCAGGCGTTTGGTTCTGGCAATTAGTGTTTTGGCCACGGAGTTTATCTGTTGAGGTAGCAGTTGGTGTGTGTTTTCTTCTGGTATATGGTGTATCCTAGTGTGCCATCTGTTTTTTTGTAGATTAGTACATCTAGGAATGGTAGTTGTTTGTTTCCATTACCATGGTGAATTTGATTTTGGGGTGTGTGCTGTTTAGGTGTGTTAGGAAATTGTTTAGGTTTTCTTTTCCATGGGGCCAAATAACAAATGTGTCATCGATGTATCTTAACCATAGTTTGGGTTTGTGGGTGGCATTGGCTAGGGTTCTGGATTTGAATTTTTCCATGAACAGGTTTGCAATGACGGGTGACAGTGGTGATCCCATAGGGGCTCCTTCAATTTGCTTGTATCTTTGTCCTTTGTATATGAAGTATGTGTTGGTTAAGCAGTGTTCTGTTAGTTCCATGAGGTGTTTAGTTGGTTGGTATTTATTCTTGTACATAGACAAAATTATTGGGCACTTATAATTTTTTTGCAAAATCCATATTTGCTATTTAAGCAATTGAAGAATATTGTTTAGGGCTGACAAATTACAAACATGGAATAAAAAGTTTTTAAAAAGTATGTTATCTAAATAAATTCATCAAAAACAATTTTTATATTATGGACATTCCAACAGGTTTTTTTTTAATGTCAAATTTTTTATATTTGAATGTAATAAATTTGAAATAATTTTGTCCCAGTTTAGTTTAATATCTGTATTTTTATCATAATGTGCTGAGAAAGGAATTTATATTTAAAGATATGAATATATTGTTTAACTACAATATTACTGAAAAACTTAAACTTGTCAATTTATGAAAAACTCACATTTGATAAAAATGTGCAGTTAGAAAAAGGATATAATCTCAGGGATAAAATTCTGTCTTAAGGAAATGTTTTTAGTTTCAGCCTGTAAACTGACTCTTTTTTTAAATAGAAATAATGGAAATGTTGATTAACATGACACTTGTATGGTCAAAGTTTGATTGGTTATTCGAATAAATATTATAGGAATTTAACTACATCTTTGGCTCCGGTATCAAAATAACTTTGGTGGATCCTGATGAAAAATATTTCAATAGCAAAAAGTTATCCATTATTATTGAAAGTAAGAACCATACTTGTATACTGCAGTAACGAAATTATATATGATATCTTATGTATGAGGAAAATCCTTAGTTATTAGCTGGAAATGATTCTAAAGCAGTTGTTCCTTACTGAAAGATATCATACTTCATGATACTATTTTAACACATTATCAGAATTTAATATTTACCCCTTCAAACGTCGCTTCTTCATTTCAGAAGAATCCTTGGGTTTTGCCATATCTTTGGAATCAACCTTTGAAAAGAAATGTACTCAATTTCTGCATCTTTGCATACAAGAAGTTCAGAAAATTCCCTTTATCTTAACGTATCATATCTATTTCTGAACTAACATCAACTAACATCCAAGTAAATTTTCTAATACCATTTATCTGGAATGATATAAATTCTTTTACCTTGAAAAGAGGATTAGACTAGATCTTCAAGATTCCTTCCAGCCCAAAATTTCATTTTGGTGAAGAATATTAATTATGAATCCTATATTATTATTTGTGAACAAATTAATATAAACAGCCTTTATTTGTATGCTGTTAAGAATTGAGCTTTCTCCCCTATTTAAATGTTACTTTTGGAACATGATGAATCAAAATATTCAAGACTGTAAATAAATTTAAATTTTTAGATATTTGAAAGAAGGATTTTTCTTCTTCTTTCCTAGTAAGAAATATTATTGTTTAGGCTTTCTCCTGCTGAGATTCAGGGGACCTTAGAAGTTACCTTTTCTTACTTCAGAATACAATTAAGTATATGGCAGAAAATGTATAAACCAAATTATTAATATTAATATGCAGAGAATATGGTGAAAATCAAGTTGGGTAATTTTAAACATTTTTGGCATGTTGCAAAGAAAGTTTCTCTGAATTTAAAGATAGGCTCCATGGTGCAGCATCCATTTTCTTTAGAATTAAAGGATCAAACCTATTCAAAATCATCTTGCAAGATGAAGCCTCAACGATTCTCTGGTCTTGTCCATTTAGCATAAGTTTCAGAATGGAACTAAGTAGTTTTATTTTTCTGATTCATAGAAAATTCTTCATGGCAGCCTTTTAAATGGTTATCCATCCATCCATTCCCAATAAGGTCACATGTAATGTGGTAAGATGTAGTAAGAACATAGAAATACTGGTGTTTCACCATTTTTATCATCACAGTATAGACCCAAACATAAATTCTAACACAACTAGTCAGAACTACTTCTTGTTTTATGCCTGAGGCCCTGTAGGTGTCTCTTGATTCATTCTATAGAGCAGGGCTGTCAAACTCCCAGCCCACGGGCCAGATGAGTCATGTGCTGGCTCCGCCCACACCCAGTTTAGCAAAGGGGGAAAAAGCCACGTGAACTCGCCATGATGACATGAGTTTGATACCCCTGCTATAGAGCTTCTAGGTAAGCAAAACAAACCCTCTGAATCAGAAAATTGAGAGACCATTCAGATGCAATTTCATATAAAGTCTTCGGCACTTTCACCTAAGTACAACTGTCCACTGCTAATTTGGAAAACTTACAAGTAGCCCCTGAGATCTAAGTAATTTTATTATATATTTTGAAAAAAACTTATCTCATTGTATACCAATGTAGAACACCAATAGCACAATCTATTAATTTGAAGAGTGGATCGTTAATAGATTGGTCTTATTTTCTGATTTATAAACTAAAGGAAGTTACCATCTAAGCCAGGGGTGTCAAACTCACATTGTCATGGTGGTGTCACATGATGTATTGGGACTTTTTTTCCCTTTGCTAAACCGGATGTGGGTGTGGCCAGTGTGTGGTGCATCGGTCCGCGGACCCGGAGTTTGACAGCCCTGATTTAAGCTATTTCTTCTTAATAGAAACACAGTTCCATTAGCTAACAGTTTCCTGAATGATGTCTTGGTTAACAAGACAAAAGTTGAAAATTGGCTTAGACATCATCCTCTAAAATGGAATCCAAAGACTCAGATTTGATACCTAATGACTGATATGCCCTAAAGCTGAAATGCAGGTTCCAAGTAGGGAGTCCTAAACAGAACAAAGTTCAATTTTTTTGTAGAGGTAGTCCTCAACTTATGACCATAATTGAGCCCAAGTGATATTAAGTGATTGAGTGCCCAATTTTTGTCCTTTCTTACTATAGTTGTTAAATGAATCACTACAGTTATTAACACAATTGTTAAGTGAATCTGGCTTCCCCACTGACTATGCTTATCAGAATGTCATAAAAGGTGATCACAGGACATTGTGATCCATCATAAATATGAACCAGTTGTCAAGTGTCTGAATTTTGATCACATAACCATGAGAATGCTGCAAGTTGTAATTGTGAAAAACAGTCGTGTCACTTTTTCAGTGCCCTTGTAACTTCAAACAATCACTAAACAAATTGTTGCAAGTTGAGAACTATCTATATTTTGCTACTTCAGATTCATTTAGTATAAAGCATTACAGACCTCAATAGTCCATTCTCTCTTGACCAACCCAAGCTTAGTTTGATAATGCCTAACAATGTAGTCAAATACCAAAAATAGACACCTCTCCCAGACTAAAAGAGCACAGTGAATGCCTATTGCAAATACTATATAATTGACTTTTTGGAAGGCCGTGCAATTGTTGGTAGATAGGAGAGGATAAATAATGCAAATAATAATGCAGAAAAATGCCGTAACTAGAAAAGATTGTAAGAAGGAAAACTATAAATTATAGTTGTCTGAACTATAAAGTTGTTTTAATTTTTCCAATAAATTTAGTCAATGCAAAGGAATACTGAAAAGAAAGCATAGAAATCTATTATTTTGATGAGATTTCTGCTTCCCAAGCATGAATACCAATATAAATTGTTACACTTCTTATGCACAGTAACATCTGGTTGTAATTACTGATACTTAATAGTAATGCTGTGCTCTTTATTAATATAAATAAAAGTTCATTTGATATTATTTCAGTACTATAAAAACTATTTTATGTGCTTTTCATTCATTTAAAAATAACCCTAATAACAATAACAGCAACAACATTGCTTACCGTCTCCGTTTTTATTTTCTTAGATTCTTCCTGTTTTTTATCAGTATCTTCAGGTTGGGAAGCCTGTTTTAACAGCTTCTCCGTAACACCAGCTGCTCCTTTTTGTTTAGAAAGTTCCTGACTTTTTCGTGGAAGTATTTCACTTGTTTTTCCTGTTTCCGTTTTTTGTAATTTAGGGGTTGTTTTTTCTGTTTTGCTAATTAAATCATCTCCTTTAACTTTCCCTTTTGTTGCTTTCTTGCCTTTCTTTGGAACCTCTTCCACACCTGCTGATAAAGGGAACTGCCAGTCTGGAATTGTTGGTGGTATTTCAGCAAGTTGAATCTTTGCCTTTTCAACTTCCTGTATTTTTGTAAAAAAAAAAAAAAAAAGTTAAAATACATAAGAAATTCATCAGGTTTCATAATCTTTAAACTTGAAATTTTCAACACAGCACCCCAAAAATGTGATGGTAATGACAGACATATAATCCTCTCCTTATGCTACATCATTGATTTCTTTAAAAAAGTATTTTGCCTTTTGCCTCAAATTCCTTCCTGGGCCTTTGTTACCAGATTTTCTTTTATTCTGATTGAATAGTTAACAATTGTCACTATCTCCGCACTTTCTATCGAGAGGGAAAATGAAGAAATGCATCCCAGGTGACAGTGACCTCTTAGTATTATGCACCAAAACCCTCTCTGTCCAATATTCACAAGTTTATTATCTTCCACCAGTTTTTTTTGGATATCATGGAGGAAAACTCCAGAACTGCTGAAAATCTCTTTAAGTCTCATTGCAACATGCAGGGGATAAGATGGACACTCCCCAGTCACAGGATTTTCTGCCAGCAATGCTGGGATTTCCCAGACATATAGTAGGTCTTCAATAACACTTTTCTGGAAGTGAGATCTGAGGCAACTCAGGAGTTCATAGCTATAATGACAGCCATGGGCCTGTTTTAGGTCATCCAAATTCCAATATAGGACAATGGTCATCTACTTATCTGGTTTTCCATTCACCACTGTCCGCTGCAAGCAGGTAGGACTTAGATTGGTCATCCCTCAGTAATAAATGGACCCTAAAGGATTTCAGAGGGAACTGGGGGCTCTTTCTGCTGGTCTGCTGGTTGAATGATCTGCCTGAAGCCTTGGTTGCCACTTGGAAGAAGAGGCTCACCAAGGTCTTAGATCAGATCACACCTATGTGATTTCTTCCCTCTTCTGACTCCCATCACTCCCTATCTTTCAAATAAGAACTAAGGGAGATGGTAAAGAAGAAATCTCTAAAGATCACCAGCATTAAAGGATGAACTCAATTTATTAAGGATTAGAACCACTATGAATACCAAATGGCAGTAAGGACAAGGAAGGGACAATACTTCCTTGCTACTTATTACATCTGCAGATAGTCATCTGGTGGCCTTGATTTATGAGATGCATAATCTCTTGGATAAGGGAGATCACCTTACAGGACTATATGAAAGAATTTGCTCAGCTAGACAGCTGCTCACATTCATTCTGAGCTGGACACTGGCTTTGTAAAGATCCTGGGCATATTCCCTATTGTTTGGGAACAGTTTGAACCACTTGGGCTGATTTTTTATCACTATAAGCTCAGCCACCAATTCTTTGAACATGCCCTTTCTGGATAACTAAAGTTGTCTGACTCTGAAGAAGCTGCTCCAGCTGAAACTCTGGAGTTCAACCTTGGGAGAAAAACAAGCCAAGAATCACTTTGACATTGATCAAACACAGGCATTATCAGAACAGCTGGAGAAAGCTGAAAACAGAGCTTAGCCAATTCCTATACTGTATCTTTGCAATCAGTCATAAGAATCAAGTCAGACCATGAAATAGCTGGGAAATAACCAAGTAGAATTTCATGTACTTATTTGAATAGTTTTTCAAGTCACAATATAACTAAGTATACAAGAAGTAAATATGGGAAAATATTTCTGCCTAAAGGGATCAGAAAATTCTCTTCCAAAATACCTGTAAAGCTTTTTGTAGCTTCTCCTCAAGCATTTTCTTCTCTTCCTGAAGGGACTGAATGTCTTCCTACAATGTCAATATCAGTTTAGATTTATATTTAGATGTTTCATTTATATTCAGATTTCAGATTTAAAGGTTTGCTTGCCCTTTCCTATTGTAAAAATTGTAAAAATGTACAAAAATTCACTCAATTTTCCTAATACATCCCAGAGAATATAATTCAGTTGGTTACCAACCATTTATTGCTTTCTGAATTTTTAAAATTATATTTATCTGGTATAAAATCAGAAAAAGTTGACTGAATGAGTAAAGCCCTTTTTCTGTGCTTTCAGAAATATAATACATAACCCATCTTTCTTAAGGATTTCTTCCAAGATCTTGAATTTTGTATCCATCTTTCTTATCCTGAATTCTTACACTTTTTTTTAAATGGCTTGGAAAATAATTTATTAATAGAAAATTTTTATAAAATTTAACATCATATTTTTATACAGATTTTAAATGAGGTAGTTTGTCTACAAAATATATTGACATATTTGTCTTTTACCTGAGCTTTATTTAAATCATCTTTCATTTGTGTTTGTTCTTTTTCCTTTGCAAAACCAGACTCCAGTTTCTGCATTCTGTAATAAGAAAATATAACACAAATTAATGACTAGATCATCATAATATAGCAACTAGACTGCTAAAAGATCAGAAGAAAATGCTCACATGGTAATTTCTCAATTTTCCTAGCAAGTACAAAAAGGTCTATAAATTATGGCAATCTAGAATGTGTCTTTGAATTTAGCTTGTTATTTGAAGCCAAGCATTACAATCATTATAATTATGACTGAAGTGATATGGCTCCACAAATGTAAAACCCAATCTGTTATAATGTATAGTGTGAAAGCTTTTCAAAATATAGAATATGTTCAGTAATGAATTTTAAAATGTTCAGTGTAACTAGTTCAAAACAGCCTAACCATAAAGTGCTATTTATTAACCTAGTTAAATCGTTAACTCAGAAATAGTCAAGTACATTTGTGTGTTCATATATTTACATTCATAGAGAAAGAAAGAAAAAGTTACACAATGCAAAAACAACATTTATAGTATCAGATGCCTACTATTTAGCACTCTGATTTAGCATAAGAAAGCATAAGAATTTTTTGTAGTACAAGGTACCATGAAGTATAAGAAATTTTAGTAGCATCAGGTACCTTTAAAATTTTTTTCAACTGGTATATCTACTTTTAGTTTTTCTGAAAAGGGTAAATAATCTATGCTCTGATAATATTCTAGTTGAACCATTGCCTTATACATGGTGACACCCTTAGACAGGTAATAACAGAATAATAGAGTTGGAACTAACCTTGGAACTCTTCTAGTGTAACTACCTTCTCAAGCAGGAGACCCTATTCCATTCCAGACAAATGGCTATATAACCTCTTCTTAAAAACCTTCAAAGTGTTGGAACATCCACAACTTCTGGAGGCAAGCTGTTCCACTGGTTATTGTTCTCACTGTCAGGAAATTTCTTAGTTCTAGGTTGATCTCTTCTTGATAATCCATCCATTACTTTTTGCCTTGCCTTTAGGAGAATAAGTTGACCCCCTTTTCTTTGTGACATCCTCTTAGATATTGGAACATTGCTATAAGGGCATCTTTGTTTTCATTAAATTAGATGTATTCAATTCCTGCAATCATTCTTCATACGTTTTAGCTGTCAGTCTCCTAATCGTTTTTGTTGCTCTTCTCTGCACACTTTCTAAAGTCTCAACATCTTTTTTATATTGTAGTGACCAAAACTGGACACTATATCTTATTTCTGTCTTACCAAAGCAATAAAAATCTACAGTTAATTCAAAATATATTGCAGTCATAATTTTAAATAGGATGATTTTCAGGGAACTTCATTCTAGTTTTAGGAATTTTTATTAGTTATTGAGTCATTCCAAACCCAATACAAAGTGCCAGTTTTCACTGTTTCCATTGTTGTGCATTCTGATCCTAATTTCTAAAGACCACCATCTCTGGCTAAATCTAAAAGATTTATGATCTACCCCTAAAATGTACTACTTGTCAGAATGCTTCCAAGCTTCAGTGGATGGCAACATGAACGTACTGAAGTACATGAAGGTACTGAATTTCTATTACTATTAATCATAGCTTGTATAATAGCAATGGCACCCAGCTTTCAGATAACTTCAAATAAAGTAGCAAATAAATAAGAAATATATAATAACATGCCAATAATTAAGATATAATAGTTATTTTAAATTAATAAAAATTCAAATTTCATTAGTTTTCTGAATACTTTAGCACAATTTTTATAAAATTAACTAGTCTATTCATTTTTTCTTACACCTGAGCCTTTTCTGAAGAACCTTGTGGTTTCTCTTCAATTTTCATCTTCTCCAGTTTTAGTAACTTTTTCCTTGTGTTTGGTATTCCTTTATCTTGCTGTCAATAAGCATTCAAGAAAATGAAGCAACAGTTTTGTATTATACAGTTTCTTGTACAGCTGTATTTGATAGTGCATGTGTCAAATGACAATAGAATTATTCCTAATACAATTGTCGAAATCAGTAGATCTCACTTTTCCCTTGATAATATCCCCAAGGTGGTTATTTAAATTAGATAACAACTAATTCCAATTTTTATTCACAATTCTTGGAAACAGAAGAGCAGTGTCAAGTTTGGAAGCCATATTAGCCTGGGGAAATAGGAGAGGGGAATTTCTTGGAGCGAATGCTATTATGTCTAACAGATTTAACAGATAATCAGAGTTGGAAGGGATCTTGTAGGTCATCTAGTCCAACCCCCCGCCCAAGTGGGAGACCCTACACCATTTCTGACAAATGGCAGTCCAATCTCTTCTTGAAAGTCTCAAGTGGTGGCCCTCCCACAACTTCCATTGGTTGATTGTTCTCACTGTCAGAAAGTTTATCCTTATTTCCAGGTTAAATCTCTCCTTTAATCACATACGCTCCAAGAAATTCCCTCCTCCTATTTTCTCAGGTTCAAGAATGTGGCAGTGTGGAAGCGTCTGATGCTAATATGGTTTCCAAAGCTGACAGGCAGATCCAAGGTGACGTAAACCAATTTCACACCTTGTGGACTCCAAGAAAAGACTCAGGATAGGATCATGTGAGTGAACTTCCTTTGGCCAAAAGAGCCACTGAAAGAGCTACTGCCACTTTGGCCTAGTAATCCAGCTAGCACAGTCCAGAAAAAGCCATGGCTTCAACCCTTAGGAACATCTTACCTCCTGAGGTAAAATAGGGTTCCATCTTCCTGACCATCCACAAGAGCCTTAAAACCTGACTCTTCATGTTAATTTGGGGCCCCCATGGGGAGGAATTTCACACCAGAGTGACTGATTGACTAATAACAGTTCCCAGCCATCCGCATCCCTATGTATTCTATAGTAATAACTTGTATTTTATTATAATTCTAATGTGATTTTATATGTTTATTTATATATTTATAATTTCATTTTAAACCGCCCAGAGTCTTGTGTGGTTAGTAGTGAATGTATGACCAAATTAAATAAATAAATAACACAACACAAAATAAAACAAATAACAAGATGTAGGGATTAGAGCTTTTGAATCTCTCGGAATGTTTGCATTATATCTTAAGAGTCTGCTTATTAGGCAGTGCTGTAAAGGAACCCCTTATCAGCTGATATTTACATTGGAGATACTAAATTCTTCTTTCTGTGATTCTGCATAATCCTTTCAGGAAGTTCTAACATGAAATTATTCTTTTACTGGACTTCAATTTTACTCTCTTTTTTTCCTTTTACTCTCTGATGTACCTTAACTTTTAACATTTTCAATCTATTCTTTTCTCTATAGGTGGGATCAATAAATTCTCATTAGTCCTTTTTCTGCACAGGGATAAATTATTTTATAGTTATTACTTTATAGTCTACCACAATTATGATTCTATTTGCTCCTCAGTATTAATCCTCCCATTGTTAAACATTCTAGGAAGAGAATAATGCTATAAGTATAATTTTGAATTTCTAATCATGTAACAAGCAAACTAGATTTAACATAAGGAATTATGTCACGTTGGCATTTCACCAAATAACAAAAATTCCTGTGAGTTCCCATATGAACAAAAACCAAGTATAACTAAGAGAGAAGAAGAGGAGTAATTTAGTTCCCATACAGCCTTAGGCTGATCAGAAAGAGATCTGAATATGACACAGAGTCTAAATCACAAAGTTCTAAATATTTAAATCCAGCTTCAGTTGCTCTAAGATGAAAACTAGATCCAGTGTGAATTCATTACACTAGTAAGGATCATCACCTGGGACAAGCACACAGTTGTCAGGTCAGACATTTCTGATCCATCATCAACCTCACCTCAAGAAACAGAAATTGATGCTCCCAGCATTAATAGTATGGAAGACTCAATCACAAAGTCAAAAAAGAGCAGAATCCATAAGTTGTCCATAAAGCCCAATTTAGTATGGCTACTTCTGAGAGCCAATATGGATAGAGGAATAACTGTCTCTATTTTTGGCCAAATTTTAACAACACAAAATAATTGCGTTTATTTCTCCAGAAAAAAATACCACCTTAATACCAACAGATTTGGCATTTGGCAATATCCTTCTCCAGCAATATAGTGTTGATAGTCCCAGAAAAATAACAATAGAAGTTTGGTATCAGCACCAAACTGTTTGTCTGTCTTAATCAGATCCATAGTACAATTCTCATTTTTAGAAATGAAACTTTTTATGTTAAATAAAGTTTGTTGCTCTTAAAGGTATTATAATATCTGAAGTTTCAATTCTATTAATAACATTGAATTTAATTCATAAATTACCTCTGAAGATTTCATTTTTTGAAGTTCGTCCTCCATTATTTCTTTTTCTTCTGTTAGCTTTTTAAATTCTTTCTGAATTTTCTGTAATTTCTAATATTAAAAAAAACAAGAGTCAAGAAAGGCTAGACACTTCAAAATATTTGGGATCTCAAAGAAACTTGTCCCTCCTTTGGAAAGAATTATTATATAAGAGAGTGTTACAAATCAGCCAATTCACACAAGCTTGGGCAAACTGGTAGCAACGATTTGGCGTGGATTGCCGAACCAGCAGTGACTTCTGGCTGGCCACGCCCCCGACCCAGTCACTACTCACTTGCTTGCCCTGCCCAGCCAATGCTCACTCACCCTGCCCACTCAACGTTCGCCCTGTCCAGTCACTCCTTACCTCCTATGTGGCACACTGGGTCTCATCACTTGCCTTTAACCTGCCTTCCCACATGGTGCCTGCACCCCAACTGAGCAGCCCTGATCTGCCTCCTCACAGATAACCCTGCGAGTCATGCTAGCTCCCCACCATTCCCGGATTTTCCCAGGCCACCCTCACCTTTCCCAGAGCTTGTTGTGCCCCCCCACCATCCCCCGGGCTCGGCTGGCTGACTTCCCCACCGGTGTGGCCCCATCCTGGGAGGTGGTGCTGGCTGGGGCCTAGCTGCCCCCCACCACCATCCCCGGACTCAGCTGTCTGGCTTCCCCACTGGTGTGGGCCCATCCCATGAGGCGGTGCTGGCTGGGGCCTAGCTAGCTGACCCCCCTCCAGTCCCTGAGCTTGGCTGGCTGGCTTCCCCACTGGTGTGGCCTCATCCTGTGTGGAGGCGCTGGTTGGGGCCCAGCTAGCTGCCCACCACCACCGTCCCTGGCCTCAGCTGGCTGGCTAAACCGACACGCGGCACTCTACCTTTCACGTGGTGGCCACAGCGCAGTGAGCGGTGGCAGAGGTGCTCTGACAGGGGACTCCCAGGGCTGCCTCTCATAGCAGTGCCACTGCCTCTGCTACCTCTGCCACCCGTTTCCTTTCGTTTCATCCCCCAGGGACCACTAACCAGTTCTGTGGCCTAATTTGTGGGTGTGGCTTGGTGGTGATGTGACTGGCTGGGCATGGCTTGTATGTAAATATTATAAATATTTATCTAAATATTCATTTTTTATTAAAAAAAAGAGCAACTTTTACCCAAAATCAGGCAAAGCAGGCAGGCAGATTGAGATGCTCACAGAATCACAGATTTATTCACAAATCTATCTGCCATTGGCTAGTTCAGTCTGTCACATAAAATTTGCTTGCAAGCAAACTCTTAAAATTTGCTAGCAAGCAAACTCACAAAATTAACTCACAACACACCATGTATGTAAATATTGAGGTTTTTTTTTATAAAAAAAGAGCAACTTTTACCTAAAATCAGGCAAAGCAGGCAGGCAGATTGAGTTTCTCACAGAATCATTCAGTGATTTATATATCTGTCATAAGCTAGCTCAATCTGTCACATAAAATTTGCTTGCCATGAGTCTGCACTGAATAGAACCTTCAGTCCTAAGGGAGGTTCGGCTGTGCTTAAAAGCAGAGCTGAAGATCTAAGATTAGCTAGAAAGGAAGAAATCCAACCATTTCCTGCTTCCTAGTTAACCTAAATCTCCAGGCACAGCAGAACAGCTGATGGTCGGGGGGGAAAAGGAAAAATAGCAACTTAGTAGGCAAGTTTGCCAGGTAAGGAGTGAGTGGGCAGGGAGGGTTCCTGCAGCCCATGTGGGCTGCGCAGCCTTGTGTTTCTGTGCAGCGTGGATTAATTGTGTCGTGTCCGTCGCAAGGAATGAGACTTGGAGCCAGTGACTTGGTTCAGCTCATTTATTTGATCTCCGAGATCGGCTCGGCTTCCGAAAGAAAGCGGTGGCTTTTATTCTTTGGCCGCGGCGGCCGTGGCCAATGGCACCGCTTTGAATCTCCCGCAATTAGTTTCCACCAATCACGGGAGATTCGCGGCGGGCCAATCCGGGCGGCTCACTCGGCCAATCAATTCGCCGCGCGTCTTGTCCAATCGCTGCGCGGTTCTACAAGAATGGTAATGACCGTACAGAACACCCCTCCCCTCTTGGTAGGGTCCTACGTAACATAGTCCCGTAAGTAGGCGGGGCTACGTACTTGTCTACTTGACCTGCGCAGATTTGTTGGTGCTTGGCTCCCGGCCGGTTCGGTCGGGTTCTGTGTTGCTCCTTGTCTTGTTGATGGAACCGTCTGGAAGGCTGGGCCGGGCCTTTCGTCGCAGCTCCCTCCCGGTCTACTTGGGCTGGTTGAGTTGCAGTTGCCGCTCCCGCCTGGTCTTTCCGGGCTGGTTGAGCTGGCCTAGCTGCTTCTTCCTGGTGAGGTGTCGAGCTGGCTGTATGCTGGTGAGTATTCCTGGTTTCTTTCTAGTGGGGTTTGGTCTTTTGGGCTTTCCCTCCCCTCTTGGTTTGTGTTGGGGGGGTTCCCTTCTGTGTTTGTTTCTGTTTGCGTGTCGGTTGTGTTTCCCGTGGCTGTTCTAGACCTTAACTGGTCGATGTGTCGTTTCCATGCTCGTCCATCGGTTGTCTGTAAATGGTACCAGCGGGGGCCTGTCACTTGGGTTACGGTTGCTGGTACCCAGAGTGGGTCTCCGGTGAGGTTTTTCGCGTATACCGCATCGCCTGTTTTAAAGGTTCGGTCTTTGCTTGAGGAGTTTGGGGGTTTTTCAGGGTTGTATGTGGGGTGCAGTCTGTCGAGTGGGGACCTTAATTTTCTCCCCATCAGTAATTCTGCCGGGCTTTTATTGGTTGTTGTATTCGGGGTTATGTGTTGTATAAAGAGCATTTTGTTTATTTTCTCTTGGATTTCCCCGTTTTCTATTTTTTGGATAGTTTTTTTGGTAAATTGAACCATCCGTTCCGCCTTCCCGTTCGCCACCGGATGTGCCGGCGCTGTCAACGCGTGTCGTATTCCCCGCTCAGCTAGGAATTTTTCGAATTCCAGCGAGGTAAATTGGGCCCTGTTGTCGGATACGAGAACGTCTGGGAGGCCGTGGGTTGCGAATAATTTGCTGAGTTCTTTGGTGACGGCCTCCGTGGTGGTAGTTCTCATGTTGCTTACCTCCAACCAGTTGGAGTAAGCGTCTACCGTGATGAGGAAGGTGTGGCCTTTTGTGGGCCCGGCAAAATCTATGTGGATCCTGGACCATGGTCCCCTAGGGGTTTCCCATTCCAGGATTGGGGCGGCAGGAGGGCTGGGTCTGGTTTCCTGGCACCTGCTGCACGCTGCCACCCAGGCCTCGATTTGTTTGTCCATCCCTGGCCACCAGGCGTAACTTCTGGCCAAGGCCTTTGTCCTAACGATGCCTGGGTGTCCCTCATGCAATAATTCCAAAACCTTTTCCTGTAATTTTTCCGGAATAACAACCCGGTCCCCCCAAAGTAAACAACCTTTTTGCAATGACAGTTCTGTTTGTCGGTTTCGGAATGTTCTGAAGTTTTCGTCGTCGTCCCTTTCGGGCCACCCCTTCTCTACCCAATGCAATACCCGCGCCAGACGTTTGTCTTTATTAGTTTCCCGGGCAATGTCTGACGCGGTTATGGGTAGATCGGGCAGAGTCTCTATGCTGAGGGTGGTCGTCGTGGGTGCTGGGTCGGTGTCGAAGTCTGGTAGCGGCGTGCGACTCAGGGCGTCTGCGTGGGTGATTGTCTTACCGGGTCGGTGCGTGAGCCGGTAGCTGTAGGCGGCAAGGAATTTGGACCACCTTGTCATTCTAGGGGATAGAATGTTCGGGGTGGCCCTGTTCCCTGCTAGGATTCCCAGCAGCGGCTTGTGGTTGGTGACGATGGTGAAGGTTCGGCCGTAGATGTACTCGTGGAACCTTTTGACGGCGGCAAAGATGGCCGGGGACTGTAGTTCTTTTTGAGTCGGCAGACTCGGGCGATGTGGCCTCTCTTGTCGCAGTGCCGGCATATTGCATCGAAGAATCGGCACTCCGATCGAGGGTGGTCGCCTCCGCACCCGGCGCACGGTTGCCCCGACTTACGACCCCATCGATCGCGCCGATCTCGGTCCGTCTGGAGCCGATGCACGTCCTCTTCTCCGTCGGTGGTGTTGGAGGCGGAGTCGAGGTCGCCATGGTGTGTGGTGGTCTCTCGGCGGCTTGCTTCGGAACGCGTCTCGGTTGCCGTGCCTGCCTCGGTGGTCGCATTTCGGTCCCCGGTGTCGGGCCTCCACATCCGGGCCGCTGACTTCCAGGTTGCCTCGGCTGCGGTGGCGTCTGCGAGGACGTTGGCGAGGGCGATGTCGCCTTTTGCCATCAATCGGCTCTGGAGAACTGGATCTCTGAGTCCCAGGACAACGCGGTCTCGGAGTGCCTCGTCCATGTCCGTGAAGCCACACATGCCTCCGAGATTCCGCAGATTGGCCACGAAATCGCCGATGCTCTCGCCCGCTCGCTGGTCTCGTCGGTAGAAGTCGTGCCGCCGGATAAGGGTGGGCACGTCGGGGGCATAGTGGTTCCGGAGCAATGGCTCGAGATCGGCCCAGTCCATTGTTTTCACGTCCTCTGGTTTCGCGAAGGCTTTCACCATTTTAAACACTGCGGGCCCGCAGTGTGTGAGGAAAACCACTCTTTTCTTCTGCCCGGTTGCATCCTTTAGGTTGCTACTTTCGAGGAACATCAGGAATCGGTCGGTGTATGATTCCCAATCCTCAGTAGCCAGGTTAAAAGGTGCAGGCGGTGCGATGCTGGCCATCTCGTCGGTCTCGTTTCCTCTGGACACGTGTACAATGGGGATCAGTTTTGGAATCCCACCTTCGTCGCCAGTGTCGTGTCCGTCGCAAGTAATGAGACTCGGAGCCAGTGACTTGGTTCAGCTCATTTATTTGATCTCCGAGATCGGCTCGGCTTCCGAAAGAAAGCGGCGGCTTTTATTCTTTGGCCGCGGCGGCCGCGGCCAATGGCACCGCTTTGAATCTCCCGCGATTAGTTTCCACCAATCGCGGGAGATTCGCGGCGGGCCAATCCGGGCGGCTCACTCGGCCAATCAATTCGCCGCGCGTCTTGTCCAATCGCTGCGTGGTTCTACAAGAATGGTAATGACCGTACAGAACAAATTGCTTTGGGGAGGGTGCTCTGGGGGTGAGATTTCTCTGTGACCCACCAAAATTTTCTCACAGCCCACTGGTTGGCGACCACTGTTCTAGTCCAACCCCATGCTCAAGCAGGAAAACTGAGGATGCCAAACTCTGAGTAGAGGTCCTGGGAAAGGTGTCAGAATAACAGAATAACAATTAGAAGGGACCTTGCAGAGAACCCTATACCATTTCAGAGAAATGGCTGTCCAGTCCTTTCTTTAAAACTTCCAGTGATTGAGCACCCAGAACTTCTGGAGACAGGCAGTTCCACTGGTTAATTGTTCTCACTGTCAGGAAGTTTCTCCTTAATTTTAGGCTGCTTCTCTCTTTGTTCAGTTTCCATCCATTGCTTCTTTTTGCCTACTGGTGCTTTGGAAAATACATTGCCACCCCTTCTTTCTAACAGCCCCTTAAAAGCCTGTTGCCTATCACACTCTTGGGCAAAGCATGTAAGCCATTTGCTCCTTTCAGTGGTCCATGAAAGTACATCTATAGTATGTAGATAATAAAGACAAAAAATGGTGAAGAACATTTTTACAGAATTATAGATATGTTGAAGCTGGGTGTGACAAGGAATGGCTGGGAGGGGCCAGGTGAGGCACCCCTTGACGTGAGTTACATGACCACCAAGCCACGCCCACCCAGTCACATGACCACCAAGCCATGCCCACCCAGTCACATGACCACCAAGCCATGCCCACCCAGTCACATGACCACCAAGCCATGCCCACCCAGTCACATGACAACCAAGCCACGCCCACCATCACATGACCACCAAGCCACGCCCACCCACACATGACCACCAAGCCATGCCCACCCAGTCACATGACCACCAAGCCACGCCCACCCAGTCACATGACTACCAAGCACACCCACCAAATAAGCCACACCCACAGAATCAGTCATAAAAAAATTTGAATCCCACCACTGTTACAAATGTATGTGAAATAAAGGGTAGTATGGAATGCTATACAATATTTGTTGTAAATACAGAATAAAAATAGTTGCTGATGTGATAAGCTTGATATATGTTAGAAGTAAAGCATGCATGAGAATAAACAAAACATTATGTGAGCAGTTCAGCATTAAGTAGGGCAAGAATATGTAATACCAATTGGTTATTTGTATACAATCAAACCAGAGGTGGTATTCAACCGGTCCGTACCTGCTCGGGCGAACCGGTAGCGGTGATTTGGTATGGGTCGCCGAACCGGTGGCGACCCCTGGCTGGCCACGTCCCCAACCCGGTTGCCCGGTCGCTCACTTGCCCTGGTCGCTCTCCTAGCTTTCCCTACCACATGGTGGCCAGGCGCAGCTTGGGCGGATGTCCTGCAGCTGCTGCACGTGCGCACTATGAGTGCAGCCACTACATATGCAGTGCACATATGCAGCGGCCCTGGGACATCCGCCCACCTGCCTATCCGCCCGGAGCACGCTTCTCCCGGCAGACGCACCTCCTCCAACCTAGCCCGGCCTGGCACAGCTAGCCAGTAGGTGGCCACATGTCCAATTGTCCCTTTTGCAGCGCCAGAAGCCTCTCCCAACTGGCCGACTACTCTCTTCCTCCTTAGCCATATAGAACAAACAGGCAGAGAAGGAAGGGAGCAGCCATCCATCCGGTTGCGCTGAAAAAGTGGTGGCTGGGACCAAAAAAAGCCATTTCCAACCACCTCTTTTGCAGTGCCAGAAGCCTCTCCCAACTGGCTGACTACTCTCTTCCTCCTCAGCTATATAGAACAAGCAGGCAGAGAAGGAAGGGAGCAGCCGTCCATCCGGTTGCACTGAAAAAGGAGTGGCTGGGACCGAAAAAAAGCAGTTTCCAACCACCTCTTTCAGAGTGCTGCACCAGCAGGGTCAATGGGGTAGACCTGCATGGCCGGTGGCTAGGATGCAGCGGAGGCGGCGTTGGAGAAGCGCAGCAAAACCTCTTGAAGAAGCCTATAGCCACTGCGTGTTTTTTTCAGTGTGGAAGGAAGGAAGGTAAGGTCGAGAAAGCTGCCTGGCCCAGAGCTGCTGGTGGGGGTGGGAGTGGAGGCTGCAGCACCCACCTCGCTTGAATTTCCCAGCCCCAAAAGCCGGAGGGGAGGAAAGCTTTTTCAGGCAATGCAGGACAGGAGACTGGCTGGGATGAACCCTTGTAATAAGAGATTCTGCCGGGTACTTGGAAGCCTGTGTGTGTTTCAGATGGGTCTCCTTTCCTAGAGAGAAAGGAGAGAGGAAGAGAGGAAGAGAGGGAAAGAGACAGAGAGAAAGAGAGAAGGAGGGAGAGAGGGAAAAAGAGAAAGAGGGGGAAAGAGATAGAGAGAGAGAAGAGAGAAGAAAAAAAGAAAGAGAAAAGGAAAAGAAAGAAAGAAAGAAAGAAAGAAAGAAAGAAAGAAAGAAAGAAAGAAAGAAAGAAAGAAAGAAAGAAAGAAAGAAAGAAAGAAAGAAAGAAAGAAAGAAAGAA